AGTACAGCTTGTGAGTGAGTGAGTGAGTGAGTGAGTGAGTGTGGTTTTACACCACTTTTAGCAATATCACCGCGGGGGACACCAGAAATGGGTTTCGCGGTTTGTACCCATGTGGGGAATCAAATCCGGGTCTTCGTCGTGACGAACGAACGCTTTAACCACTAGGCTAATGCACCGCCCCTGTTCTACCAGGACAATGTACATGTTCACTAGTTTTTGTCGCCATGGCTGTAATGCACGACTGAGGCTTTGAACTCATTGAACATCATCTCTATTCACCAGACACGGCATCGTCAAACTTCCCAAACTCGAGGAAAGAACTAGCATTATGATGATGACGTCATTTCTGTTGTGAAGGGCCGTTTACAGTACCAGTAGGAAGCCTTCCACACTAGTGGGATCCAGTTACTCAAGAACCATATACATTTATTTTGTAAGCCTGATCTAACAACTTTTCAGCAAGGGTCGTTTGACGCCCTTTGAAATCTTCGTATTTGAGGCATGCTTGATTGTAGCTCAAAAGAACTGGTTGTGAAATTGCTGCAAATACACGCCTGAAGGAGGTGAGGTAAGGTGAGGTGAAATGGGGTTTAACGTCGCGTCCAAGATTATTGCACTTATATAGCGACGTGCATGCACGTGTATGTGTGTGTATGTGGCTGCATGTACCAGACCGGACTGATTCTGATTTATAGTGCTAGTTCCCTGAGATACCATGCCGCAGTTTAACATGAATACCCCACTCAGACACAGTATACTGACTCCGAGCCGACCAGTCCTTGCTTTAGCCCCTTAATGCCGAGCGCCAGACAGGGTAACAACAAGTACCATCTTTTAACGTCTTTTGGTTACGCCTGAAGGATAAACAAGAAGTTCAAATGGACATTGAAAATGTTCAGCGAACGTTAATATATGTTGTACATAACATTTTGATTTGCTGAAAAGCGTGGATAAAAATGGAATTCAAAGTCAGGAAATCTTCTGGACTAATCCTGACTTTTCTTGATTAATACCACTTATTTCATAACAGATAATAGTCAACAACGTGGAGAGGAATATTGTATTTATTAAATATTCATATTCCTAATAAAATGGGACAATACTTGCTTTATAGCTGAATACTTTAACAAGGTAAATGTTTATGTTTGAAACTGAGTCAAATATTCAATACTACCCGTAAAGCCGAAAACACATCCTGAAGATGTCCTGAATGATCGTACCGTATAAAACAGGCTGGAAACACGACATGTTGACAGAAACCATGGACAGACTAAATGCAACACGGCGAATCACAAAGTACGTCTACAACTCCTTACATTGAGCAGAACATGTCCGCCTACAACCGCCCCCACCCCCCCCCCCCCCCCCCCCCCCACCCCCCTACTTGTAGCATCATGTGATTTCAAGTAGTCTTTAAAATTTGTTTTTAGTACTTTTGAAGGCCCTTTAACGCATATGGGATGTTTTGATCAATCCCATATATCCTAACTGTAAATTTGGTTCTAACTTCTAACATTTAATGAACATTATGTATCGCTCATCAAGGCACGCCCCATTTTTCCGATTGAGTCTATCTATGGCGCACCGACTGGTTCAGCCGCTTCAGCTGCTTCAGCGCGTGTCGTAAACCGATGCATCTGTTGCCGCATCAACGTGTATTGTCGAAGTTGGTGTTCGAACGCTGAAAGCACAAAATATTCAACCTAAAACAAATATAAATTACATGTAGCATATATCATTAAGCTGTTAGTCTCAAAAAGCAACTACCATGGGTGAGTGAGTTGGGTTTAACGCCTCTTTAAACAGTATTCCAGTTATATCACGGCGTGTCAGCTTAATGTGGGAGGAAAGCCCCAAGTGATGCAGGTCTCAGGCGATTACCACTTCGGTGAACCCACGAGCACGGGTATGGTGCTGACAAACCTAGAAACATAATCGGAGCGAACCGGGATTCGAACGCACAATCATAGGTTTCTGGCGTGCCCAAGGGACGCAACTCTGCACAGCGAATCGCGGCGCCTTAGACGACTGGGACAGCCGGGCCCCCGTAACTACCATGACAAAAAATAAATAAATCTAGTTTCAGTCTCTCATGTATTTTTCATTTATTTTCATTAAGTATTTTTAATTGAGGATTTTCTATATTGACTTTTATATTGTGAGTCTTTTAGAGAAAGAATCTCTTTGTTTTGGTCCTTAATACAGTGATTGCGATTTCGGACAATACGAGGCATGATAAAACTGAAAAAAAAATATCAACATAAAAAAATCCACCACCATTGCTAATTATATACAAAATATATTTCCTTACATCAATGTGCAAGTTAAGATACATGGTTAATTAAGTCTTGATATGAGGATTCTCTTTAGGGTAAAAGAAAACTCAAAGAAACAGGTATTCTTGTCATGCTGTTCACACGTGTGTTAATGAACCTGATGTTACTCGTGTTCACATAGTATTGATGATGTTAACTATGTCCTTTTAATACAATTCTGCTCAAAATATGCTACGCCAAAATAAACCAGAGGTTGCAGGTTTTAATGTTGGACAGTATAGGCAAGATACCATCTGGAATCCGCTAAATGATTGAATTTCTTACCTTTCTCTCACGAATGCGTTTTTTCCGTTATGGAGAAAAAACGAAAAGCGTCCTCGTAATGTAACTTTTCACGAATGAAGGCTTTTGATGTCTTTTTTTGCATACGTAATTCAAAGTGAACACGCAAACACAACCACCTACACCTTTGTCAATATGAAACAGGCACTCGATGTCGAGATGACTCAGACGCCTCATGTGGTGCGGGTGAACGAATCACAGTAAGATCCGCGATGTCAAAGGAATTGTTCATGTTGATAGGGGTTCCAGTTATTTCATTGGCTGAAATTGTTCTTCACGGTTAGAACAGTAGAGTAACGCCACAAGAATTATCTATCTTCAGTGAACTTTGTCTTTGAGGTACCAAATGTACCAATATTCCAATCACATGTTAGTATTAGTATCATGTAATGTATACAACATGCACATAGCCAGCCATCAATGTTTGTTGGTCGGTAGCATCATCCAATTTTCGCCACGCAACCTTTGACAGCGATACCGAGATCCATGCTGTTACTAAACTCGGAGTGCAGTTATTTTCTATTTAATTATTATAACTTATAACGAAGCTGAACATACTTTGGGTTTATTGGCCCCTGTCCCGTATGACAACATCTCTAACCACAAAGTCACATTCAATTCCTCATTTGAATGGTTGAGACATCCCTATCAACAGGTGTGTAGTCTACAATAACCATAGCCTCACAGAAGGAGATCCGCATTTTCCACCCACAACATATGGCTAATACTCAGACGGGGCAACCGGTATTCTTGACTGCATTGAATGGCCTTTAGCTGTTGGGGATCCTAACACATTTTTGTCATTTCCCTTTATTTTCAATACATATATTGTGTACAAAAGTTGAGTACAGACAGGTTTTAAGCTTTCAGTTTCGCATTTCTTACTTCATTTGCATAATATAGATATTTTGCTAGATTTGTAATAATATATGTATCTGGTGATGACAAAAGCATATTAAATTTATGAACGTCAGGACGTCAGGATGCTTTGAGATATAGTTGCCGTAACTTGACATACGGTGAACAAATAAGCAGGAAGCGGTACTCGGTTTCAACACAGTCTAATTTACAAAGTTTGCATTTTCTTAAATTTCTTGACGTCCATTCTCAATTTCCAAAGTATGACAACTCAGTCAGAATCTCGTGAGGGTTGTTTTCATATTTTGCGAATTTAAGAATGACAAATAAGGTTCACATTTAACATAAGTTTTAAAACAAGCATAATATGACATAATGGAACTTGCAAGAAGTTCGCTATGCCAGATCTGCTGAAAATTGCCTTTCAATCGTTGTTTAAACATATTAAGAAAAACCTCCATACATCTCCGAACCCGAGTTTACAAAGACAGATCCTAACACATATTATATATTGATAACAACTACTAAACTGAAGTAAAACACGATGGGGTTTTCTTATCAACAAATGTACCTCTGTTTAACCACCCAATGTTGCTGTGCATTAACTGTGAAACTCCGTTAAATCCAATGTAGTGATCCTATGAAATTTCCTGGCTTAAAACGCTTCTGGATTACGAACATTTTACTGTGTAATGGCCTCCGACGATAGCGTATGCTCCAAACAATAGGGGCGGTCGGGTAGCCCAGTGGTTAAAGCGTTCGCTCGTCACGCCGAAGACCTGGGTTCGATTCCCGACATGGGTACAATGTGTGAAGCCCATTTCTGGTGTCCCCCGCCGTGATATTGCTGGAATATTGCTAAAAGCGGCGTAAAACCATAGTCACTCACTCACTCACTCACTCAAAACAATAATCGGATTTTCGGATTACCGGTGTCTGGAATAACTGGGTTTCACTTCGGTGATTGCCGTTTAGTATAAACCACAGTGAATATGCAGCAACGTTTAAGGGACAGCGTGGTGTTCTTCATCCTGTGATGGAGTATCGAACCAGGCAAACGAGAGATCTATAGAGTGAGCATCGATATGTTGAGTGAGTGAGTGCGTATCGTTTTACGCCGCTTTAAGCAATATTCCAGCAATATCACGGCGGGGGACACCAGAAATGGGCTTCACACATTGTACCCATGTCGGGAATCGAACCCGGGTCCTCGGCGTGACCAGCTAACGCTTTAACCACTAGGATTTATATACTACTTAAAAGAAGTGAAGGATCACCCAATTCTTTCATAATGGTAAAGTAAAACTGTCATGTCATGACAGTTTTACTTTACCATTATGAAAGAATTGGGTGACCCTTCACTTCTTTTGAGTAGTATACATGCCTGGCAGATGCAACATTGGGCGTTGTGCATGGAACAGCTAACAGTAATTAAATACACTATCACAGAGGCACAATAGGATTAATTTATTGTGTTAATTGTGCTGGAGAAGCTGATTTTATCATATGACCACAAGGAGGAAATTGTGTAAAATATCTTTATTGCATAAGTTACAGTCATGTACCTAATTGTAGATCGCATAGTGTGAATAAACATCCCTCGCCACATTCTACATTACGCTGTGAACTATTCACAGCGACATCATGTCAAAGAACAAGCAGTTATATAACAGTAGCTAAGTGTATGGCATTATGTCATCGCTATTAATATGTTGTTTTGGGGATTATTTCACATCGAAACCTTATTCGCTAATTACGAGAATTTTTAAAACTAACACATACTATTATGCAAATTTATGGAGAGTTGTGTTATTCTAAAATTATTTTGAAATAAGTTATAAACGTGAGCGTAAATTTTTATTGAAGTTATAAACACTTTTCAAGTAAACCATTTTATATTAAAAGTATATATATTAGAATTGAAAATGTTGACTTCATCTTCATCTTCATAGTGACAAAATTGAAGTACAGGTAATTATATATCGCCAATGAATGACATATTTTCATGGAAAACACGTTCAAAAGTTCATTTTAAGACTTCAGTATTATCAACAGCCAAATCCAGACATCAAAACTCAATGGAATATTAATATGATGAAATTTATCAAACATTGTTCCTATGCATTGATTGTCATTCAGTTTCGTCCGATTCCTATACATTCGGATAATTCCGGCCGCACTTGTCACTTCACATGACTCCGGGAATCCTCCGAGCTGCTCCGAATGTCAGAGATGGTGGTGTTTTCCTATGCAGCGCCTGCAGCGGCCTGTGCCTCGGCTGCAGCGGCCTGCCTTTCAGCCTGCGTCATTCGCGCCTTCATGCGCTGCATCTGTGTCATCTGCTGATTGAACGCTGGAAACACGACATATTGATAGAAACCATGGACAGAATAAAAACAACACGGCGAATCACAGAGTGAGTCTGTCTACATTTCCCCTACATGGAGCATCAGGTTGCAGTTGTACAAAACAACCTTAGCGCTACGGCTGTCGTAAGTTACGATCACCTTAGCGCTAAGATCGCTTTGTACAACGGCACCTAGGTCTGTCTACAACTCCAAACATTGAGCACCACATATCATGTTTGTCCACACCCCACCCCAACCCCCACCTTCTACTTGTAGCATCACGTGACTTTAAGTAGTCTTTAAACACAATTTTAGGTACTTTTGAAGGCCTTTTCAGGCTTATTGGATGTATTGATACATCCTATATATCAATACTGTAAATGGTTCTTACATTTATTGAACATCATTTATCGCTCTTTAATTTTTATCATTTGAATTATATATAGCAATTATATGCATACTCGTTTTTACGTTTTGTTGGGGGTATTTAATGTAATGTCATAAAATACACCTCAACTCCAGAAATACCCATAATGGATATGCTTAGTGTTTGTATTTACAAGTTGGAAGAACGTGAATATAAAACGGCAACGCCAGAGAGTAACCAGTCTCGATTATCCTCCGAAACAGATTCCACTGGGCGTATAAGGCAAAATAGCGGTTACAATTCTATGAATGGATCACTGAAAATCACCGATGACACCAGGTGTTCGCGAAAAGGGTCAGCATGTGCTGCTGCTCTACCGGTAACACCCGCCACCCACACAATTTGTAATGCAACATATATTCGTTGCTGGCTGATGCCCTCAGCGATATTCGTGAAGACATGTGACTTTTATAGATAACCACTTCTTTTTTGTTTGAAACGACCAATCAGGGCAACTTCTTTCCGCTTCATCAGGTGATGAAAGTTCTATGTAAGTCACTGCTGATAACTAGGGGCACATCTTAGCATCTATGTGAATATGTTTGCCACCTATTTCCCATAAAGTCGTATTTGTACGAAAGTGATCGATGTACTTGGCTGACATACCAAGCGCGCATGACACCCATGATAACAAGGCTATTTATCATTCTTATCCGGAAGTCACGTTATTCTAGAGTTATGGCCTAGCGTGATATCCACTGGTGAATTGTGGGAAACTATTTAGCGTATATATCAAGGTGATTTGTTATGATTATTTAGAAAGAAGTAGGTTGTTATCCTGAACAGTTTGATACTTTGTGGACCTAAACGAAATTTTGTTTGATGTCTTTTCTGAAAGTACTCTGTTTCGAAAAGGGTCATAACGGTTGTCAGATGTCAACGAAAATAACACAAAACGTGACACCCCAGGTCACGAGAGAGCAGAGGCATTATGGGAGTTAATGGCGGCAATTTGGAACAATGGGACATGAGTACTTTCCTTTAGAATATGAACCCGACAGGGATGTCACGATCGTTTACTCTTATTTATTACGCGCCATACAAGAAACAATCCTCACTATACTGTTAAATTACTTACAATGCTGAAATTTATTTATCCTGTCGATGAAGGTGATGCTTAGATTTTCTGCCACATGGTTCATGAATGTTTAACGCCACAGTCAGTAATGTTTCAACTATTTCACGGCGACATGTACTTGGTTTGTAGCATCAGTAACGAACCACGTCGTCGAGTATGACGACACACAGTAAACCAGGTCACACATTGTAATTGTAGTCAGATAAAGACTCTGGTATTTGAACCCAGCAGATCCAAGCAGGACTAATGGACGTACCTACGAAACACAACACCTGACACTAAGATATAAAAGAATACAGGCCATAGATAGGATTAAAACATAGAAAGGAATAAAGTTCATATATAGGAATAAGAAGCGATATAGGTATAGAGGTCATAGGTAAGAATAAGACGCCAGATAGGAATATAGGTCATGGATTGGGAAATGCAGACAAAGACAGAAATAAGTAGGCGGACAGATAGGTGTCTAAGTTACATAAAATATTATCTCCCTATCTCTAGCTCTCTCTTGCACGTGTATATACGTGTAAACAGTTCAGGAGGCTGAATTACCCAATTTGGGTAAACAAATATCGTTTGAAATGCGCAGATGAAAGGCCCCAAAACCTTAACAACATATACGCAATGTGATGTGGAAACGTCAGCAGTTGCATGTTAACATAAATCAACACGCCTTTAGGAGATCCCCTTGCGTGATTCCTAAATGACAGATCTGCCTCTTTTTCTGACCCCATCACAAGTTGTTGCCCTTGTTTTACTGACATTAACGTCACTTACAGCTTGCAGTAGGAGTTCCTATTCATCGCGTGGTGTCGGCAGGTTGGCCTAGTCTACTGTTATATGGCAGGCTATAGTACCAAGACATTCCAAAGAACAATCGGAATCTCGTCGCATTAAGAAGGATGATTTCTGTTATTACCTTTTAATCACACACCATGTATTTATTTATGCTTACTTTGCTTTTCTTGCGAAATGGGATTGGACGAAACGTAATAGGTCTTTCTCCACAGCTTATTTACTTCCTCTATTAATTATTTGCCATCTTGACGGATTATGGTGGTGTGTTGAAATTGAAGATCATAATGATTATGTTGCTTATAACAATAACGACGATGATGTTTGAGATGATGATGATGATGATGATGATGATGATGTTTCATTGTAGTTTAATATAACCCCAAGGACAAGAACAAGGGCAAAAACAAGGACAAAACTAGATGCATTTAAATCATCACGATTTAACCTGATGTAACCACAATAAAGAATCAGCGGCTGACAGCTTGGCATGCTGCAGGAAGTAAAAAGCTTTTTGTCAGACCAGGTGACGTATGAGTGACAGCCTCTATGTTACAATATTATACCTATGAGTGTGAGGCTCAGGATAACAATTATATCTTGAGTATGTCTGTGTTAAGAGAGGTAACGTGAATTTTAGAACGAGACTACCATATTAACTGTATTAATAACATCATAGAATCGTAATGGTTTTGTTGAAAGTATCATAAACGGTACTTTTTCCTTTCACCATTAAATGCTGTCCGCTTTTCAATATCTGGACTGAGAACAGTGGACAGACACACAACATCCACAGTTTGCTGTTACACACCCTTTAGAAATATTTCAACAACACCACGGATGGGGTGGGATGGTGGAGGTTGTGGTGGATGAGGGGGAAAGATATCTTCGGGACCACTACACATATGATATGACTTTGGATTCGATCGGGGTGGGGTGGGGGTGGGGGATGGGGGGTCATGGCTCCTCCATTGCCCCTCATGGATGGACTATTGTATGTATCTAATATGTATTGGTAAATATGGAATGAATGTAAATATATACGTAGCATGCATAACCTCACGGAAGCAATATATACAAGTATGTCGATGGTCTATTTCATCAATACTGCTCCTTTACAATACCCCATAGAAGCTATTGATAAAGCTATTGCGATGCATGCATATAAAATTATAAATAAGAGTTATACTTGATAATTCCCCAGTGTTACATCCTTTAAGATATTCATGTGTAACAAAATGCAACCGTAAGACTTAAATAGCCAATCATTAGGGAGAATTAATGACCATATGTTGTTATCCCATATGTTGTTATCTTGTTCTCCACGTGCAATACAGATATTTGAGAGTTACATCAACCGAATAATCAAACCTAACGTTGACATGTGATGAAAACTCTTATCCAGTTAGTACAGAAATTGTTCTAACCAAAATGTGACAACTATTACTGAAATGTCCAAGAGTCGGATGACATTTTTTTCAAGATTATTTCCAGATTATCTGCATTGTTATTGCGACACTCTATTTGGGGAAGATGTAGTTTTTGTTTCGAAATTTGGATATTTAGGAACGAAAGTTTTGTCAAACGAGAGCTCACTTTATAAAAAAAAGTTAGTATTAAAAAAGTATGACATTTTCTTCCAGAACTTGGAAGCAGAGCGTAAGGCTGAACGTAGTGGAACATCACTTACTTTGCCAGAAGGTTGGTGGGTTGTACACAGTCCATGGACGAGAGGTCAGCCTGAACCACTCGTTCTTGATTTTGACAAGAGCACTGAAAGGAAAAGACACCGAAATATTAGAATGAACTGTTTAGACCACCTGATTCTTTCACATAATAATCCCGAAATGAATATCATCATAATACACCGATTCCTTTGGGACCCGGGAAACGTCACTCAACATAGAGTTTCCGCAACTCCTTACTTACTGGAGCTTACATTGTGTGAGTGGCGGGTTCTACCGGTAGAGCAGGACATGCTTCCCTTTTCGAGAACACTTGGTGTCATTTCTGATTTTTAATGATACATACATATAATTTTATTCTCTATCCTGCCTTTAATGCCCTGTAGAATCGATTTCTGTAGATATTCGAGACTGGATATTCTCTTGCGTTAACGTTTTCATTCCTTATTATTCACCTGCAACCTATGTTTGTCGTAAGAGACGACCAAAAAAGACCGGGAGTTCGTGTTCGGTTTTCAGTCATTGGTTTGCCTGCTCCAGCTTAAATTATTCGCAAGCCGCCGTGATATATTTCTGGAATACTGCTGACTAGGACTGTAGAACATTCACTCTCATAACATACCGCGTTATGTAGAGACATACGCAAAATGGTCCTCATTTTGTCGCCACTGATTTTCCTTCAACGTTCAGGCTTTTATAGGAGTGAGTGTGTTGGGTTTGACGCCGCTTTTAACAATATTCCAGTTATATCGCGGCGTGTCAGCTTAATGTGGGAGGAAAACCTGAAGTGATGCAGGTCTCAGACGTTTACCACTTCGGTGAAACCCACAAGCACGGGTATGGTGCTGACAAACCTAGAAACATAATCGGGGCGAACCGGGATTCGAACCCACAACCCGCAACTCTGCACAGCGAATCGCGGCGCCTAAGACGACTGGGCCACCCGTGCCCCCAGACTTTTATAGGAACATGGGGTGTTAATCATTATACTTAACTCGCTGATCATCGAACTATTAGCATAAAGGGATGCACGTGCACTTTTGTGAAACCCACGAATTCCCGTATGGTAACGACAGGCCAATATTAAAATCAGCTCATGTGGAAGGCAAGCCCAAATTGCCGCAGACAGACCATTTGGGTGATACCGTGATCGCAGGTTAGATGACCAACGAAAATACTCGGGTCGAATCTTGAACCCTTTATGAAGACCATTTTACCAGTTTAAGGACAGCATCGGTAAAACGCAGGATATGGTTGTTCGACTTACACGAAAACAATCTTCTCTGACTTCATTGCCCCTTCACTCGGGAACCAGATGAACGCTGCGCTCTTCCTCTGTCTGGCGGTGTACCGGCGAAGGTTGGGGTCGTTAGGGTAGCGCATTCGGTAAACTTCAAGATGGCGCTCTTCCACACTCCCTACAGCGTCATAACCCTGAGCTCCGCGGTTACACCTGAATCCGACGCCTCCAGACGCGTATTGAGGGTAGATAGAAAACACGCCCACTGGCCTCCAGGGAGCTCCTACTTCAGCGTTGGCAACAGCGGGTTCTGCGTAGATGACGAAGTCGGTGAAGTTCTCGAAACTGTAGATTGAGTTCTCCCACTGGTGGATACGCACTGGAAAAGATGAAATGATATTACGTTCCATGATAAGTAAGGTCATGGAAAGTTTATAAAATGGTTTCTCACCATTGTCATGTAAAACATGCCGACTGAGCCATTTTGTGTTTTTGGTTTTGTGTGGTAAATATATATAAATACATAATTATCTGAATGGATTTCGCAAAACAGTGATGTTTCCTTGCGTAAACATCGAAAAAATCATAATTCGTCTTTCAGAGTTGAAAATGCCTGATTACCATAAAAAAATAAACTTCTCGTGAGAAATGGTATAAATGGCAACGGTTCACGCGTTTTTTCTTCCCCAAAATGATTCCCTTACCTTAAAACCGCAACATCCATGTTGGTCAAATGACACAGGTTTTAAAACATTTTATAACGAAAACGACGCATACAGTGTAAATGTAGAATATGAATACGTCTACACAACACTAGACACAGTGAACCAATTACAGGGAACAACAGAATCCATAACAACGGAGGCGGTCGTAATGTGAAGTACGTCATAAGAAATAAGAGGTACATGACGCCTGACGTCCCATTGTCGGTGATCCGTCATGCTGTACACAACATGCCCACTATGCAATGTCAGTAAGGCTTCATTTGTCAAAATTATATAAAACTAAACAAAATGACGTCAGACATGTACTCCATAACAGGAACATGGCAATGATAAGAAAATACAGTAAACTACGGTTATAACGAACACGCTTATAACGAACTGACCGATATAACGAACTTATTTTTAGCCCCGGCCATTTGTTGTATATATGCTGTATATATGCTTACAACGAACTACGGTTACAACGAACTAAAATTAGTGGTCCCTTTGAGTTCGTTATAACCGTAGTTTACTGTACTATCACGTCTGATGTAACACCAATTTGAAGCTCGAGTAATTATAATCAAGGGGCTGTTTTAGGAAGACTGACTGACAAGTCGTAAAATGAAATATTTGAAATATAATTATGATCTGCAATGCAGATGGTGGATATTTTCTTCAATTACTCCAATACGTAATTTTGACCGTTGCTACGTTCCAGAGTCTTTCTTTGACAGTTAAACATTATATGCCAAAAAATATCTTTATTGAGGACAATAAACAGAAAACAGATCTTCACTGCCGGCTGCATAATTACAAGAATATATTAATGAATTACATTTACGTTGAATTTTTATTTACATTTACACAATTCCAATTACATATCAATTGTCAAATGAGACTGGATATATGTATAACCTGCTTTATTTTAATTATTATACTATTTTTATTAATGTTCTGAAGGAAGGGTTACGATATGTGCCACACATTGAACAAAAGCATTTTGGTCTATTTAAACCTTGAATTGTGACAAAACATTTATGCACCAAATTAGTGTCTTTAGGTATAAGTTTTATTGTTACAATACTGTACATTGTTGAGATGATTTTTTTGCGTATTATTTTGAAAAGTACCGAAGATGTACTTCACGTCTACTTCTTTATCTTGTCATTGAGTATACAAACATGTTCTTTCGTTAATCCGAGAATGAGATTATCCGGGCGATTTGACCTGAATGGCACCGCCCGGATTGAGGGGATTTCGCAGCATTCTTCGATAATCGCTGATATCCCTGACAGTTTTGCCAGATTGAAATTTCATCGGTTACTACTTCAAGAGATACATGTCTTTCTCTTAAAACAGATGATTAATTTTTTCATAAAACAAATTTTCATGACATCCATCACGTCCAGCGTACAATTTGGTGCCTGTAAAAATGAGGCATATCTGTTGTTTTCAGTATTTTCTAGAACAAAATATTTATTTACTTTAAATCCGACGCCCGTCCCGAAAATTTAGATGGCCGGTCCTTAACCTCGAATAGTTTCAAGGAGTCTCAAAAAAGAATTAATGGTAATGTTTCACACATGTTGATCCTCAAAATGAACAATGGTTTACTGCGTTTGAAATGGTGCATGCATTTTTGAAGAGCGCGTTGGTCAACTATGGCCGTCATGGACACCAAATTAAACGTTGGATCAACGCACGATGACATAAAATTGAAGTAGGTGACGGAACATTCCCACGCTATGAGTAAGGCAGAATGATGTTTGTAGTACTTGTGAAACAAATGTACTGTCCTCGAAAAGACGACTTCCGTTAAAGAATTCAAATTCTAAACTTGGTGTTCTACTGCAGACAACATTCTTGAGATGTTTCAAATCAACTGACCAAAACAAAATATGAGAACAATCACATAAATAAAACAAGAAAACTTCAAATAAAAGACTGTACCTTCAATGGGTTTGCCTCTTCTGACATCATTGTGTAATCCCCGCGAAGAAAGCTCGAAAGGTGCCGAATTTTCAGGCCATTGGGTCGGTCGTGATGTAAGGTACTGGCAAGGTGTTTCGTACCTCATCCGTGGAGTGCGTCTGAATTGGCCTTCTACTCCTACACAAACACACAACGCTAGAAGCGCACCCGCGAAAACTCTGTTGAGATACACCATTTTGAAAGTGGACAACGAAAGACGGAAAAAATGTCCTCTTATACCCTCAGCTCCGCCTGTCCCCTCTAAGCCACGCCTACCATCACTCATATGCAAATGAGACAGGCCATGGACAAAACTGGCCTTGTTTTGTCATCTGACCGGAGCATGAGTAAAATTACTATTGTTTCTGGTGATAATCAATCACGTCCCATCAACGTCAACGTCAACGTCGGCGTCTTTCTGACGTGCATCATCCACGGCAATCAGGTGGACAGTGTCTACACATGTTTAGAACTTGTGACGTGTTGTAAACCATAGGTGAGAAGGTTAATCCTCGGTGTTTCTTATGTAATATTACAGGCCAAGAATGCTACGATTAATGCGAACGTCATGGTTATATGAAATAATGAGTTTTATGACAAATTTCAACCTGGGCCACTGTAGATCTCTTACGTGACCCTTACGTTTCTCTATATAAGCTAATGCTGAGTGCAGGGCACCGTCTGGTTCGTGCCACAATGAGGGTACAGTGTACACTAGTCAGGATGAACGCCTGGAGCTAAGACTATGTTTTACTGTAGCATACATAGCGAGGAGAGAACATCTGAAGATGACAACATCTTGCTCAGTCAAGTGTATGAACAGCCAGACACCTAAAAGGAAACATTCATTGTGGCTAACTTATCCACGTAAGGCATATCTATAAACTGTCCTCGTTTTTATGCCATAAGTTCGCATACATGAATAATAATTATACAACTACTATAATATTGTTGCGAATACCTTTGCCTCCCCAAATGAAGGTCCCTTTGACTTTGTTTGTTTGTTTGTTTGTTTGACTCCTCTGCATGTGTTTGTGACGGGAGCCAATCGCCAGGCCAGGGTATGCTAAACTTCAACCGGTGTTATCATTATTTGATGGTGATCCATAAACACATGCTTATGGTAAAGTCGGAATCTTCAATGGATTTTCATTTAACAGAGATTTCTTATGACTATGGAGAGTTTTGTCGCTTTTATTTATTGCATAGTGTGAAGGGGTATCACCATTGCCAAGACGCAATGGAATGCTATGAATGACTATGTACTCACTGGGCGATTTTATTATTCTTTTATTTCGTTACATTATCCAAACCTTCGTTGTGAACTATTGATATATTAATTCGCCATCGATGTATTTCAATCGGGCTAGGGGCAATTGCAACACTTCTATTAATCGTTACATCCATAGTAATTAACGATGTTACCGTTTATGAGCGGAGAAAATATTTCAGTTCATTTAACCATCACATATACTTTGCATATACCGTATAAATATTAAGAAGTGAAGTTTCCTTATTTTGTGGTAGAATAGGTCCCCAGTAACCCGTGATTTTCGTAAGTCGCCCTGAAATCACTAGCTGGCCTGTTAAACAATGGTCCAGCTGTTTAATAGTATACAACATACATACAACTGTTACTTGAGACAAGTTTTCTGCCATAAACAAAACTGTCATAGAGCACAACGAAACTTCGCATGGGTCACAGAATATCCAGGAGATCCAAAGACTCGGGAACATATTTTATCTCTGTGTTTTGTCACCCACTATTCTTGACATCGTCACGCTCAGAGACAACATATACCGCATACCTTCTGGACAGTAGCATCTTTAGCTATACTATGCCATTGTGTGCTGTTCGTATTTCGCCGCAGGCTGATGATGTGGGTCAGAGATGTGTAGCTGTGTATCTGAAGAACGATGAGATGGTGGGTAAGCGACAGCAAATGCTTGAACTATTTCTTTCTCACTGTTTCCTTTTCATTTTTTTTAACCACAAGAGACAATTCAGACACGATTAAATCCGTGTTGCAAGATGAAGTTTTAACCGTGCCTTTGAACTGTCTGTACCACTACATCATATCAACAATTTGCTTGGGTCACAGTACAAAACAAACATCCAATATTAGTAACGCTCTCAAATTATCAGCCATTGTGGTGTTTAATCAGTGTTTACTTTAACCGCAGGTACGAGCATGGTGCCCAACTGACGTTCATTAAAGTACAAACTCCTACAGAGTGAACATAGAAATTGAAGAGTATGTTTTTTCCCCAGTTTACTTCACGCAGAGTAACCTTCCCAGTTTACTTCACACAGAGTGACCGTTACCAGTTTACTTCACACAGAGTGACTGTTACCAGTTTACTTCACACAGAGTGACTGTACCCAGTTTACTTCACACAGAGTTATAGTTCCCAGTTTACTTCACACAGAGTGACTGTTCCCAGTTTACTTCACACAGAGTAACTGTTCCCAGTTTACTTCACACAGAGTGACTGTACCCAGTTTACTTCACACAGAGTAACTGTTCCCAGTTTACTTCACACAGAGTGACTGTACCCAGTTTACTTCACACAGAGTAACCGTTCCCAGTTTACTTCACACAGAGTGACTGTTACCAGTTTACTTCACACAGAGTAACTTACCAGTTTACTTCACACAGAGTAACTGTTCCCAGTTTACTTCACACAGAGTGACTGTACCCAGTTTACTTCACACAGAGTAACTGTTCCCAGTTTACTTCACACAGAGTGACTGTACCCAGTTTACTTCACACAGAGTAACCGTTCCCAGTTTACTTCACACAGAGTGACTGTTACCAGTTTACTTCACACAGAGTAACTTACCAGTTTACTTCACACAGAGTAACTGTTCCCAGTTTACTTCACACAGAGTGACTGTTACCAGTTTACTTCACACAGAGTAACCGTTCCCAGTTTACTTCACACAGAGTTATAGTTACCAGTTTACTTCACGCAGAGTAACCTTCCCAGTTTACTTCACACAGAGTGACTGTTACCAGTTTATTTCACACAGAGTGACTGTTACCAGTTTACTTCACACAGAGTAACCTTCCCAGTTTACTTCACACAGAGTTATAGTTCCCAGTTTACTTCACACAGAGTGACTGTTCCCAGTTTACTTCACACAGAGTAACTGTTCCCAGTTTACTTCACACAGAGTGACTGTACCCAGTTTACTTCACACAGAGTAACTGTTCCCAGTTTACTTCACACAGAGTGACTGTACCCAGTTTACTTCACACAGAGTAACCGTTCCCAGTTTACTTCACACAGAGTGACTGTTACCAGTTTACTTCACACAGAGTAACTTACCAGTTTACTTCACACAGAGTAACTGTTCCCAGTTTACTTCACACAGAGTGACTGTACCCAGTTTACTTCACACAGAGTAACTGTTCCCAGTTTACTTCACACAGAGTGACTGTACCCAGTTTACTTCACACAGAGTAACCGTTCCCAGTTTACTTCACACAGAGTGACTGTTACCAGTTTACTTCACACAGAGTAACTTACCAGTTTACTTCACACAGAGTAACTGTTCCCAGTTTACTTCACACAGAGTGACTGTTACCAGTTTACTTCACACAGAGTAACCGTTCCCAGTTTACTTCACACAGAGTTATAGTTACCAGTTTACTTCACGCAGAGTAACCTTCCCAGTTTACTTCACACAGAGTGACTGTTACCAGTTTATTTCACACAGAGTGACTGTTACCAGTTTACTTCACACAGAGTAACCTTCCCAGTTTACTTCACACAGAGTAACTGTTACCAGTTTATTTCACACAGAGTGACTGTTACCAGTTTACTTCACACAGAGTAACCTTCCCAGTTTACTTCACACAGAGTGACTGTTACCAGTTAACTTCACACAGAGTAATTGTTACCAGTTTACTTCACACAGAGTAACCGTTACCAGTTTACTTCACACAGAGTGACTGTTACCAGTTTACTTCACACAGAGTAACTGTTACCAGTTTACTTCACACATGGTAATAGTTCCCAGTTTACTTCACACAGGGTAATAGTTCCCAGTTTTCTTCACACAGGGTAACCGTTCCTAGTTTACTTTACAATGGGTAACCATTCCTAGTTTTACTTGTGTAGATAGAATATGTTCCCAGCAACCCATGCTGGTTGTAAGAGGCGACTTAAAGGATCGGTAGCCAAGCTCGGTGAATTGAGTGAGTGAGTGAGTGAGTTTACGACACTTTTAGCTATATTTCAGCAATATCAAGGCGGGGCACACCAGAAATGGGCTTCATACATTGTACACGTATGTGGAATCGAACCCAGGTTTTCAGCGTGATGGGTAGAAAAGGTCTTCAGCAACCCATGCTTGTCGTAAGAGGCGGCTAACGGGATCGGGTGGTCAGACACGCTGACTTGGTTGATACATGTCATCGTATCCCAATTGCGTGGATCGATGCTCATGATATTAATCACTTGATTGTCTGGCCCAGACTCGATTATTTACAGACCGCCGTCATATAACTGGAATATTGCTGAGTGCGGCGTTAAACAACAAACCAACCAACCAACTAACCAACCAATCTTCGGCGTGACGAGCGAACACTTTAACCTCTAGGCTACCCCACCGCCTGAAGAACGAAGAAACATATTCGTTTGGCTCATCATGTTCTCCTAAAGGATTAGTGAAGTGATAGTCGCGGCGATGATATTCATATTAAACAGGCATTCAAAAGAAAAATGTCTTTCAAAGTTGCTTCTTTTGAACCCGGAAACAGGAATATACAAAGAAAGACAAGGCTGTGCAAAAAGAAGAATTCTACTTCTCTGGGACATTTTGACTGCCTGTCACTGCCGATTGTACGGGTTCATTTATCACAAAGTGTTCTTTTATCAAATAGGGCAAGGTTAGCTTTTTTTCAAAAAAGGCCCAGGAACATATGAAAATGACATGATATCATTAATCAATGGAACAGGTAACACAAAATGCCATTTAACGTGTCGACCTTGACCTTACAGTAAAGGTTCGGTTGAACTTTTGTCCAAAAACGTCGTATAATCACCAACTGATATTATGGTAAATACATGAGCTAGTTTAACAAAAATGAATATGAAAACCTTCGGCTTCTTCGGGAGTGAGTGAGTATGGTTTTACGCCGCTTTTAGCAATATTCCAGCAATATCACGGCGGGGGACACCAGAAATGGGCTTCACACATTGTACCCATGTCGGGAAT